TATATTAAGAAGAGACTTTGTCTGTGGTAGAATTTGGAGTCAAATTAGAGATAGGTAAATTAAGCAGATGAAAATATCATTAGCTACAGGGAAAAGGAAAAAACTGTAGAAAAGGAAAAGTAACCTGAGTATACTACATGGCTTTGCTGTGAATATCATTCATCTAGTTACAATAATATCAGCACAGATAATTATGGAACCAAGATGATGATATAACTATGTTGGAGGATGGGGCCATGGGAAGAGGTGTGGGAAAGGAATGTGAGATGGGAGGGGAGTACAGGTAAGGAGCTAAATTCTCAGAGGACAGTGGATAATTCCTAAAACTGAAATATCAGGACATGGTGATTTGAGAATGACATTCAACAATGAACCTCAACAGCAAAACAACCAGCTAACACAATGGAGAAATGGGTGCGTCTGCAGAATAGGAAAGTGGGTGAAAAGAAAGAAGGTCTAGGGGAGTAAAGATTTTAAAAGATGTTTTGGCCACTTAACTCTTTAGCCTATATGTATGTGTATGGATACAAAAATAAACGTGAAAATTTGAAAAGGGAAACAAAAATTTTTGCCAGCAAGTTGTAATTAAGGGTCAGAGAATACTGTTTTTATTTCTTTGGGTGGGACCCAGGGCTCTTGCTATGATACAGTGTTAACTCTAAACTGCTCAAAGATAGCGTGCCTGGGTGGCTCAGTTGGTTAAGTGTCTGACTCTTGATTTCAGCTCAAGTCATGATGTCATGGTTTGTGAGATTGAGCCCTGAGTTGGGCTCAGTGCTGACACCATGGAGTTGGCTTGAGATTCTCTCTGTCCCTCTCTCTGTGCCCCTCCCCTGCTCACACACACATGCTCTCACTCTCAAAATAAATAAACTAAAAAAAAAAAACCTGCTCAAAGAAAGAAAGAAAACTGCTCTTACCCAAATCAGCATTTTGCTTTGGGACTGGGAAGGGTCTTTCCCACCATGGAGGGGCCCAGCTGTTTCACATTTAGAGTCAGCCAGGGAATCCTCAGAGCTGGGGGGTTCTGTTATGCAGGGACGTTCCAATCTCCTTCTCTTCCCACATCACAATCAAATATCTATTCAAGTGAAATCTGGACTTACACGTCATCTTTCCCAGTAAGGCATAATGCTTTATAGAGAGATATTAATAAATAAAATGGGTGCATGAAAAATGCATAACCTCACTTCATACAAAATTAGAGAAGGGGCATTGAGAGCAGAATTATCCATTTTTAATAGTAATAATGTTTCTGATAGTAATAATAATTGAATAAGGCCCTCCTGAGGACCTTCAACCTTCTAGAATGTCTCAGAAGCAGACTGGCACGAGAGCAGCCCTGGGCTGTAAATGATAGATGTGGCATTGCTGCCTTAATTGACCAGCATATGCCGGTGTCTCAGACCTGCGCCTTGTTCTCAAATCATGGACGAGAGAGCTATTCTTACTGTATTGATTTGGTGTAACTATATTTTTAAGCTCAAAATTAAATTAATTTTCTAGCAGCCATCTCAAGAAAGGCACCTCTTACTCTTCATGCATGACCTTTGGTTCATTGTGGACCAGAAAACAGAGCTGAGCCAGGACTGCCATACAGGCTTATTGAGTTAGAGTCAGACTCACTGGGAACAAGGCAGCTAGCCCAGGGAGGCCGGTTTTGAGCACATTTGGTGATGCAGGAGGCAGGAAGCGGGAGACCTGACCCTGTTGTGTCTGAGGTTATTTATGAGCCTACAAAGGCTGTGTCTGCATTATTCAGGCTTTGACTACTTTTGCTTTTATCAAGCTTCTTTTGTTCAGATTGGTATCACTCCCTGGTACATTTCTAGAGCTGGCAGCACTCTTTCCCATCCTCATTTGTGTCTTTTCAGGTGGAACTTGGTCCTCAGTTTCTTAGGCAACCGTATCTGGCACTGGTGGATGGACTAACTGAAAATTTCCTTCCCTAACATCCATATCCCTGCCTTTCTCTCTTACTCTTCCCTCTCTTAGTTTTTGGCTAAGCCTGAGTAAGATCATTTGAAAGAAATTATTGTGGCCCCTCCATGCGATGGGATGGCATGCATCAATAAAATGGAAGGAACCATTGATACATGCAACAACATGGATACATCTCAAGGGCATTTTGCTAAGTGTAAAAGGCCAATGTCAAAAGGCCACATACGTGATTCCATTTATATAGTGTTTTTTAAGTGGCAGAATTATAAAAAAGGAGAAGAGATTAGTGGTTGCCAGAGAGAGTGAGTATAAAGGGGGAGCACAAGAGAGGTCTCTGCAATGATGGCACAGTTTTCGTATTCTGTGTGGTTCTAGTTACATGAACCGGCACGTGTGATAAAATGACACAATTCTACGCATACTTCATGGCAGTGTAAATCTTCTGGTTTTGACATTGTGCTCTAATTCCATGAGATGTCACCAGTGGGGAAACTGGGTGAGGGGTATACAAGATCTCTCCGTACTGTATCTTTACAGCTTTCTGTGAATTTATAATTATTTAAAAATAAACTGTTTTTTTTTCTTACAAAGAGGAATGAGGTATTCATAATGAACAATATGGATGAATCCCAAGATAATTATGCAGAGTGTAAGAAACTCGTAAAAAAAATAGTACAAAAGAAAAATATAGACAAAATGGACTACGTCAAAACTAAATACTTTTATGCTGCAAACAATGCCATCAAGAAAATGAAAAGACAGCCCACATGGTGTGAGAAAATACTTGCAAATCATATATCTGATAAAGGATTTGTATCCAAAATATATAAAGAACACTTACAACTCAATAATAAAAAGACAAACAACCCAACTGAGAAACAGGCAAGATTTAAGTGGACATTTTCTTTAAAGAGCAGATAAGAATGACCAGTAACCATATGAAAAGATGCTCAGGTCATTAGCCATCAGGGAAATGCACATGAAAACTACAATGAGATAGCAATTCTCACTCACTAGGATGGCAGTAATCAAAAAGACACATGGGGCACCTGGGTGGCTCAGTCACTTAAACGTTCAACTGTTGATTTCAGCTCAGGTCATGATCCTAGGGTCATGGGATCAAGCACCATGATGGGCCCCTGGAGGCTGCTTAAGATTCTCTTTCTCCTTTTGCCCCTCTCCCCCCGCTCGTGTTCTCTCGTTCTAACAAAGCAAAACAAGACATTTGGAACTCTCATACACTGCTGTTGGAAATGGAACACAGTGCAGCAGGGAAAAGAGTTCCTCAAAATGTTAAACATAGTTACCAGATAACCCAGCAATTCCACCCCTAGCTATATGCCCAAGAGAATTGAAAATATGTTCATGCAGAAACTTGTACATGAGTGTTCATAACAGCATTATTTATAATAGCCAAAAAGTGAATGACCTGGATGCCCATGAACTGATGAATGGATAAATGAAATATGGCTTGTCAATATCCTTGAAGATTATTTATTCAACAATAAAAAGGAATGAAGTACCAATACACGTTGCAACATGGATGAACCTTGTAAACACTGTGTTAAATGAAAGGAACCAGCCACATAAGTTCATATCTTGTATGATTTAATTTATTTGAGAGGTCCAGAGTAGGCAAATCTATACAAACAGAAAGCAGATTACTGGTTGTCTAGGGCTAGGGGATTGGGAGGGAAATGCGGAATGACTGATAATGGGTATGGCATTTCTTTGGGAGGGGGATGAAAATATTCTAAACATAGATACAGTGATTGCACAACTCTGTAAATAACAGCCATTGAATTGTATACTTTAAGTGAGTGTATTTTAGGGTTATGAATTATATCTAAATAAAATGTTTAAAAAGAGTATATATTGTATGATAACGTTTATAGAAAATTCTTGAGAATGCAAGCTAATTTATGGTGACAGAAAATATCAGCAATCATTTGGGAATGGGAAGGATTAAAAAGGTCCATGACCCAACTTTTTGGGAAGTGATGGAAATGTTCACTAATTTGATTGTGGTGATGGTTTTATGGGTGTATACATATGTCAAAACTTATCAGATTGTATACTTTAAATGTCCAGTTTATTATATGTCAACAATAACTCAAATTTTTTTTAAAAAAAAAGCAGAGCAAAAACGTGTGAACTTCACAAATAAGTATTTATTAAGTTTTAAAAAATAATTTGACAGATACTTATCGGGTACTGGCATAGTGGTAGCTCCTGGGGATACAATAGCAAGAAAAAGATGGGTCCAGCCTTCAAGCAACCCATACAGGCACAAGGAAAGAAAGAAGCATATAGTTGCAAAATGGTTTATATACTATTTCCAGCTGTGTAGAAATATGCCTGGGGAGTCATGGTCACCTTCATGGGGAGGCTTCCTGGAAGTGGTGGCACTTGAGCTCAGCCTTCAAGGGCAAATGGGAGTTAGAGGTAGAAGGTGGGGTTTGGTGATGATGTAATGGTCCTCTTTCCTGACACCAATGTAGCGAGAGCAGTAGGAGCACATGGTATGTACTTGTATCTCAGAGGAGACCTGATTTTATTCTCGCCATGTGAAAGCCGTGCTATCTTCCCCAGGAGCCGTATCACAGTGGATTATTATATTTACATGTACCTTAACAATAAGTGTGAAGCAAAGCTATAAAGAACATCCTTCATTGTGCTTGGCAGACTTGCTGTTATTTACTTGTTTGTGATGATGGATTCGGGGTCTGTCCTTGCACTACATTGTTTCCTGTGTGAAAGCCAAGACTAAATGTTTCATTCACCATCCTGTCCTCGGCAGGTAGCATAGTACTTGGCGCAAGAGGAGCTTGAAGAAGATTACTTGCCAGTAAGTTAGGAATTGGGCTGATACAGAATAACATATTTGACTGGTGGCCTTAGGCATGGCTCAAACTTTTTGAGGTTCTTCTGCAAAGGTCAGGACAGTCTGCCCTAGGTGGGGGGCAGCTCTGGCCATTGGCCTGCTCTGGACAAGTTGAGCATTCTTGGGTCCTGGTTCAAGGACCACTCATGTGTTGTCTCTTGTCTTCCTGCTTCAGCACTTCTCTATGCCACCATCTTTGGGAACGTGACGACCATTTTCCAGCAGATGTACGCCAACACCAACCGGTACCATGAGATGCTCAACAGCGTTCGGGACTTCCTGAAGCTCTACCAGGTGCCAAAGGGCTTGAGTGAGCGAGTCATGGATTATATCGTGTCTACCTGGTCCATGTCCAGAGGCATCGACACAGAGAAGGTAAGGAGGGTGACAAGCTCAGGTAGGCCCTGTGTGTTGGCTTTCCCAGAGAGACCTGAGGCACTCCTAGGGCAGTGGTTCTCTAACCTGGCTGTGCATCAGAATTCATTTGGGTAGTTTGGGGTTCCCACATCCTACCTCCAGAGGTTTTGATGGCCTCCAGCTCAGCTTTGCTCAAAGACCAGCAATTAAGAGATTTGGAGCCTTTAAGAAACTAGAAAGACAGCATGTATCTCTTAGATAAGAAAGGAACTGGAAGTCTAACTTATATGATGATAAGACTCAGGGCCATCCAGAGTGAGGTAATCATTGTGACTACTTTTCCTTTAGCCTCGGGCTCCGAGATGGCACAGCACTGCCACTGATTCTATCTTTATTCAAATGTTTGATATTTTGTTCATCGTGGATTTTTTTTTGCATGAATTCCGATTTTTTGAGATATTGTATTAAACTATAATTTATCTTGATTACTGAGTTTTTAGCTCGAGACTGTTGCCTCACTGCAGTCTCAGCTCTGATGAGAATCCTGTGATTCGTGGTCATTAAAAACAGATTCCCAGCCTCTATCCCAGATGTATGAAATCAGAATTTGGTGGAGGTGAAGGTTTGAGGAGAAATCTGCATCTTTAACCAGTGCCCAGGTGATCCTATTCATCAGATGAGTCTGGGGAATACTTAGGAAGGGCTTGCGCCTTAGTCGTCGTGGGCTTGTGCCTTAGTCGTCGTTGGCTTGTGCAGAACATCGGACATCTCTCTAAGGCTAAGGTATCTGTTTTCCTATCTGGAAAATGGACACAGCAGTAAATCCCTATTTTTCTCTACGAGTTGCATGATTCTAGATGTATTTCAATAAAGTGAAGAAAATTTGGTGGCTGGGAAGAATACAGAAAAGGTACGGTGGGTTTCTATTCATTTAGGAATTATCTCCTGTGTATATTTTCTATAAGCAAAAATGTAATCCTATGTCCATTTTTCTCTGCTTCTCAGTGTTTTCAACCACACTTCTCTTTTTACTGCCAATCTCTAAGGGCTTGGGGAATTCTGATTCCTTTCATTGTTAGAATAAGAAAAACAGAAATATAATGCTGTTGCAGAAATATAACACATTCAAAGCCAAATTCAACTGGCTTTGGATCAGCTATCCTTTCTCCTGCTCTTCCTCCGTTAGAATAGTTAGTTGAGAGTTGACCGTTTGAAAGGAAACCTTGAACTCAATTGAACGGATTCCAACTTAAAAGGAATGATCGTTCGGTTTTGTTGAAGATCTGCTATAATCACAACAGCAATATAATAAGCATACCACCATAGCACCAGCTACCATGCCTTGAACACACATTAAGAACAGATACTTAATGGGGCGCCCGGGTAGTTCAGTTAGTTAAGCATTTGACTCTTTTTGTTTGTTTGTTTTTATTATCTTTTTTAACATTTATTCATTTTTGAGAGACAGGGCATCAGCAGGGGAGGGGCAGAGAGAGAGGGAGACAGAATCTGAAGCAGGCTCCAGGCTCTCAGCTGGCAGCACAGAGCCTGACGTGGGGCTCAAACCTACGAACCATGAGATCATAACCTGAGCCTAAGTCGGATGACTAAGCATCCGACTTTTGATCTCAGGTCAGGCCTTGATCTCAGGGTCATGAGTTTAAGCCCCATGTTGGGCTCTGTGCTGGGAGGGAATCCTGCCTTTAAGAAAAAAAAAAAAAGAGGGGTGCCTGGGTGGCTCAGTCACTTGAGTGTCCAACTTCAGCTCAGGTCACGATCTCACAGCTTGTGAGTTCGAGCCCTGCATCAGGCTCTGTGCTGACAGCTCAGAGCCTGGAATACTTCAATTCTGTCCTCCTCTCTCTCACCTCCCCACTCATGCTCTGTCTGTCTGTCTCTCTCTCAAAAATAAATAAACATTAAAAAAACAAACAAACAAGTATTTACCACGGTTTCCATGTGCCTGGCCCTGCATTCATGCGTCAGTTATGCTCTACAGCAACTCTGGGAGGGACCTACTGTTATTTCTACCCAAGAGATAAGGACACAGAGGCCCAATTAGTCTTGTTAACTGCCTCTGGTCGTAGAGTTAACAATGGCAAAGTCAGAATTTGAATCCAATTTTTGTCTGACTTGGAAGCTTTTCCTACTATTACTTTTTTTTTTTTTTAATTTAAAACTGTACTGGAGGGAAGAAGGATAAGAAGATGAGTCCAGATGGAGTTGCCCTCATTTCTCACCTAGGCAGAGAATCAGCTGGGCGGGTCTTAGTCTCTGGCTTTGCCAACCACCTGCCCTAACTGCGCCTGTTGTTTTTGCCTCATTCAACGAGGCACGTAGGTTCTGTGGGTGCCTGGCAGCTGATGGAGCAGAAAGGAACTTTGATCTCTCAGCCCTGGGGCTCCTTTCCCAGGGGCCAGGATGGCTTTGTAAATCTGGTTGTCTGGAAAGAAGCCCTTCCCCACCCAACTGCAGGGCTGGGCTGGGTGGCTACCCATGGGAGATGGCGCCTAGTCAGCATTTGCCCTGCCCCTCCCTGCCATCTCCCTTTCCTGGCAGGCTTTGGGATTTGCAGCAGGTCCTGCTCTAGGTGAAGAGGGAATACTGTGGCAACTCACTGCAGAGCCCAGTCTGGCCTGGGTACCCCCTCTTCCTGGTGAGGGCTTTTGGTGGACGACTGTTGGGGAGGGGTCCAGTCTTGTGGTCCCAAGCCTGTCCCTGGTTCCCCTCCCCTCCATCCTGAGTCAGAATGGTCAGTGATGACCACAGAAGTCTAGGGGTATGTGGGGGTAGGGGGTGGGAGGGTGGCAGTGCTGGGCTCCTCTAGTTTGATCAGTAATTAGCTGGTGACCGTGAACATGTCGCCTGTCCCTCTGAGCTTCAGTTTCCATGTCTGTAACACATGAAACTAGATGCCTTTTAATACTAAGGCCAACCTCTAAGGCCCCTTTGGCTATGACCTTCTGGACTTCAGAGGCTCTCTCAGGCTGACCTGTTGCTCTGCTGTGGTAACAAAATCAGAAACGTGAGCTCACATGCACTGAGCACTTGTGTGTGTCAGGCATTGTACCGGGACTTTCCACACACCAGCTCATGGAATCTTCAGAATTCCTTACTCATGTTCAAAAATGAAGACTTGGGAAAAGAAGCTAAGTATTGCTTCAAGTTCACACAAATAGTAAATGTTAAAGTCAGGAATTGAATCCAGGTCTGCCTGACCTTAAAGTCTGTTCTCTCAACCATGTATCTGTCCTGTCCAGCCTGGGGAGGTCCCATGAACCTCCGTGGCGACATTTCCCATTGGCCTTTGAGACCCTCAGGAACCAGCAGGGGTGGTGTGTCCTAAGGACCAAACAGAAAGGAAGGTGCCCAGGAAGGGGTCTCCAGCTGAGAAGCATTCAGCTCAGAGAGGAGTATTTAGGACCCCTCTAACCTGCCCAGTGTAGAAGCAACAGAAGAATGATGGAGATATCTGATGGTCATGACTGTCCGGATTTCTCTACTCCTGGGCTCCCTCTCCTCCTCACATGTGCTTTCCAGTGGCTCCGGGAGCAGTCCTCATGAATAAAACATTGTCTCCATTCCAAGGCCTCTTTCACTTGCAGCCTCTGCCAGCAAAGCCCAGCCCAGGGGAAACCAAATATTTACAGGTGAAGTCACCTGGAGAATAAATCTTGGCTTTGAACTCCTGAGCACAGTTTTGACATGACATGCAAGTGTTCTTCACTCCCTGGTGTTCTGCTTGGGGAAAAGAGGATCCAAATTAAATCTGCATTTAACAGGAGTCTTGTTTTTAATGAGCCTCAAGGAGGGAAATACTTAGTAAGCGTTCATTCTAAGCCTTGGCAGTCTGAATTTTCCTCTGCCTCAGTCTGTGCTCTGTCCCTGTCTCAGAGATCCTGCTTACTTTCTCAGCATCCAGCCACCCAACAGCAAGAAGGAAGAGGTGCACAGAGCATGTATGGAGTCCCTTCCTGGGTCCTGCACTATCCCTGGGGAAATGTACCAGTAGACGTAATTTCATTTCATCCTCACAAGCCAATATGCATTTTATGGGAGAAACTGAAGGGTAGAGCAGTTAGGTCACTTGGAGGGGAAGGAGCTGGGATTTCAACTGTTTGACCTCCTCTGTCCACTGCCTCACTTCCATGCAGAGTGCAGGGGCACCTGACAGGATGGGGTATGAGCAAAATTGTCATGGGCATGGTGAGACTTGGACAGAGTTTTGAAGGAGGCTGAGAAATTTCCAGATTCCAAGAGGAGCGCCAGCCACAGAGGCACATGGGTGCAGAGAAAGCAGGGAAGCGGGGAGGGGTGCAGGTACCCCAAGGGAATGTCTTCACTGAGCGTGTTTGATTTTATGCCCCCAGCTTTGTTCACTAGGCTAGGATGGGAGAAAGGATTATTTTAAGAAGACTCCTAAAGACAAAAAAAAAAAAAAAAAGAACACTCCTAAATTTTTCTGGAAAAGTCCATTTGAAGGCCTCCTATTGTGTTACTTAATGCTTGCTATGTAAGGGGCCATGCAGTGGTTACTTACAAAATTTGGTCCAGGGAACTATTTCTCCCCCTAGAAAAGGCTGAAAATTTTTCCTTTCTCGAAAGAGAAGACCCATATGACCTCTTATAGTTCCCCTTTTGTCTTGACTTTATAGATGCTAAGAGTCAAATTACAAGTGCATTTAGTTTGGGCAGCTATGCGATATAAGGAGTGGTTAGTATCTAAACTAGGCTGTGGACTCAGCCTACCTAGTTAGAGAGCCCAGCTCTGCCATTTTCCAACTACGTAACTTTGGGGAGATTATTTATCTCCCCTGTGCCTCAGTTTCCTTGTCTGTATGATGATATAATACTTGCACTCACATCATAGGGTTATGTGAGGATTAAATTAGCCACTAAGTGCATGTAACACTTAAAAATGTAACATCGTTGCTGGATTTTACTTATTTGGTTATTATTTGTCTCTTCTCACCAGGTGGTAAGTTACACAAGGGCAAGGATTTTTGTCTGTATTGTACACCACTACATCCTCAGAGCCTAGAATGATTCTTGGCATATAATAAGTGCTCAATAAATAAGTATGAAACGAATGAGTGACTTTAAAGCACTTAGCAATGCCTGGCACACATTAAGTGCTCACTGATCATTACTTTATTTCTCTAAGCCACACCCATATTCAGTCCATCAGTAGTGTCAGTTCTGTCTCCAAAATACATTCTGGGGGCGCCTGGGTGGCTCGGTCGGTTAAGCCTCCGACTTTGGCTCAGGTCATGATCTCGTGGTCTGTGAGTTCGAGCCCTGCGTCGGGCTCTGTGCTGACTGCTCAGAGCCTGGAGCCTGTTTCAGATTCTGTGTCTCCCTCTCTCTCTGCCCCTCCCCTGTTCATGCTCTATCTCTCTCTGTCTCAAAAATAAATGTTAAAAAAAACTTAAAAAAAAAATACATTCTGAATTAGACCACTGCTCACTGGCTTCCCAGCTAGCACCCCAGTTCGGGTCTCCTCACTTCTCACCAGGATGCTTGCAGCAGTGGCCTAACTCAATTCCATAACTCCATCCTTGCCACCCCTTGGTCAGGGCCCTCTATCTCCATCTGAAAATATAGTTCCATCTTGTCACTCCCCCGCGTGTCATAATAATCCTCCACTGTGTCCCCATCACACTCAGAATGAAATCAAAGGCTTTTCATAATCTAAAGTCTCTTCACGCACACTTGGCATTCTCCTGAAATCTCATCTCCTACCAGTTGCCCCCCTTTCATATTTTCACATCTTTCACATCGGTTATTGCTTGGGTCCCCTCACAGCCTTTGCCTTTCTGCTGAAATGTTCTCTTTCCCATGGTTCCCTCTGACATATGTTGCAGGTACCAGCTTAAATGCCCCCTCCTCAGAGAAGCCTTCCCTAAATATGGATCTAAAGAGTCCCATATAGGGGTGCCTGGGTGGCTCAGTCAGTTAAGTATCTGACTTCGGCTCAGGTCATGATCTCGCGGTCTATGAGTTTGAGCCCTGTGTTAGGCTCTGTGCTGACAGCTCGGAGCCTGGAGCCTGCTTTGGATTCTGTTTCTCCCTCTCTCTCTGCCCCTCTCCCACTCACACTCTGTCTCTCTCTCTCAAAAATAAATAAACATTAAAAAACGTTTTTAAATAAAATTAAAATAAATAAAATTAAATTTAAAAAAAAAAAAGAGAGAGAGAGAGAGAGAGAGTCCCATGTACTCCTAGCCCTGACTCTCCAGCCCTTCTTCTGAGCATTTAGCATGGATTTTTGTGGTCACTGCTTATCTCTCCCACAAGAATGTAAGCTCCATGAGCATAGGGACTGTGGCTGTCCTGTCCACCAGTGCATTGAAGAGGGCAGTCTAGCCCGGTGGGGGTTACTTCCGCCCCTGGAGTCCTGAGGGGCAAAGGGATGGAGACCACAGTGAAGACCCTGACTTTGTTTGTTCCTGTGCCCGGCCAGGTTCTGCAGATCTGCCCCAAGGACATGAGAGCTGACATCTGCGTGCACCTGAATCGCAAGGTGTTCAAAGAGCACCCAGCTTTCCGATTGGCCAGTGATGGCTGCCTGCGGGCACTGGCCATGGAGTTTCAGACAGTGCACTGCGCCCCAGGGGACCTTATCTACCATGCAGGAGAGAGTGTTGACAGCCTCTGCTTCGTGGTCTCCGGCTCCCTGGAGGTGATCCAGGATGATGAGGTGGTGGCTATTCTAGGTAAGTGTGTTGCTTTTGCTGGACATATACCTCTGGTGCCCAGGGTGGGCTTAAGCTACCGGAAAGCTCAGTGCCACTGCTACCTTCAACCAGGTAGAGATTGCTCCTCAGAGCAAGGTCAGTTGCTAGCGTCTATCCTACAAACAAATATTTCAGTGCCTGTTTTGTGCCAGCTGCTGTCTTAGGCACTTGGAGTATTTCAATGACAAAAATGGGTTTTGTCTTCAAGGGGCTCCCAGGCTACTAGAGGAGATGCACAAATGAGCAGATACCTGCATACAGTGCAAGAGGTATCCAACTCAGTGTTCCAGTGTCAGTAAGACTTTCTGGAAGAAATGATACCTAAGCTGAAACCTAAAGACTGGAGAGGAGAAGGGACAAAGGAGTGTCCTAAGCAGAGGGGAAAACTCATGCTGTATTGAGAGAGAGAGAGCATCCCTGTTGAGAGAGAGCATGATTCATTTGTAGAATTGCCAATGTTTCCCCTTCAGCATGGCTGGAGCACACAAAACAAGAAGGGCCACAGGGAGAGATGAGGCCAGGAGGGAGCTAAGCCCTGGGCAGATCATGGCAGGCTCTGGAAGCCACGTTAAGGGACTTGGGCTTTATTTCAGGGAGCCAGCGAAGGGGTTTAAAGCAGGAGAGAGGCACAGTTGTATTTGAACTGTAGAAAGATGGCTGTCATTGCTGCTTGGGGAGTGACTGAAGGGGGATGGCTGGGGCAGCGAGATGAGGTTGGAGACATGCTATCCAGGGGCAGGTTGATGGGGCCCTGAACTGACGTAGTGGAGGGCACGTGCAGAGAAGCAAATGGAGTTGACTCATTTAAGAAGTAGAATCAACAGATGGTGGGTTTGCTGTGGGGGGAGAGGGAAGAGTGGATGGGGACTGCGGGATTTCTCACTTGGGTGACAAGGAAGCCTGTGTGCCACCCACTGTACTAGGGGATGTGGGAGGAGGAATGGGGTCATAGGGCGACATGTTGGTATTTTGGCATTTTGAGCATCAGTGGCCTTTGAAGGATTCATCTGATTGCCTGAGGTAGCTACACAACAGCTCTTTACTGGGAACGTGTCCACCTCTCTAAAGGGACAAGCCATCATAGTAATAGCCATCATTTACTGTCATCTAGTCTGTGCAAGCATTTTACATATGTATTCTCATTTTAGCCTTATGGTAACCCTACGAAGTGATTTTATTATACTCATTTTTAAAACATGTTTATGTATTTGAGAGAGAAAATCCGAAGCAGGCTCCACTCTGTCAGTGCACAGCCAAACTAGGGACTCAATCCCACGAACTGTGAGATCATGACCTGAGCTGAGATCAAGAATCAGACGCTTAACCAACTGAGCCCCCAAGGCGCCCCATTATCCCCATTTTGTAGATGAGCTAGTGAAAACACAGAGAGGTTAGGGAACTTTCCCAAGGCCTCACAGTGGATGAGGTCCATGGAGCCAGCATCCTGAAGTCCCTCTGAGCCCAAAACCTGTACTCTGATCCATTTGGCAATACTGTAATCCTCACAATAATTTATGTAGATTGCCAGGTACTGCTAGGAATTGTGGACATCTTTAATCCTTTACATATGATTTCTTAGGAAACTGAGGCAGGGAGAGGTTAGGTTACATGGATGTTAGACGTGAGATTCAAACTAAGAATACAAACTAAGTATCTAAGAATATATATATATGGCTCAAACTTTGTTCCTGCTTGATTTTGGAGTACATGATATGCAGCCTTCCTCTTGCTCCTCTGGCCGCAAGCCAACTTGCCCTCTTGATTACATTCTGCTCAGGTTAACCCAAGGATGATTTATATTCCTTCAGCATGAGATGGCAGATGGTCAGAGGGAGCCTGGGATAGAGACCGGGTGTGGGGTGAAAGTTGTAACTGGTTTTTTTTGCTAAAATAAAGGTCTGGATTCCTGCTCTGCAGACAGGGTTATTCTGTTCCTTGCCTTCCTCATCCACAGAAAGCTGAGATTTTATTGCGTATAGGAACAGAACACACAAAGGGTAGGGCCACTGCTTCGGGGAGTGCAGCAGGGAGAGTCCATTTATCCCTTCTTTTAATACTCATCTGTGTCCTGGATAGAGAGGACTTTCTATTGGAAATCACTGTTGAGATATTCACCTGGCTGAGAAGAAGAGTAGTGGCTAGTGAGCTCTCCTTTGAGTTGTAACTGGAATTGAATTTGAATTTAAATTGATCCTTCAGTTAAGGTCATCTTTCACTGATCCCCCTCAGTGAGAACTCACCATATGCCTTTCCAAGGAGTCTATGCTGGTGACCAGCACCATCCCCCTTGCATCCTCATAAGCAGAGCATCCTTAATGAGCTCCTACAGCTGCATATTCGGAGTTGGGGTTGATCACTGAGGCATGGAGATAAGACAAGAGCTACCGGAGGGTTGAGGAAGACAAATGACTACTTCCCTGCTGGGTCTCAATTCTTCTCAGCTGGGGATTCTTGTAGGGAAGCAAACCAGGCCTTGCTCCACTGTTGACTTACTTGGTCAGTTGACAGCTTCTCCAAATTCAGCCCTCTGTCTCCGGCCCTCTGGACATCCTGCCTGCTTCAGTTAGCAATGTGGACAGGACCTCTGCAATAACCCAGCAGCTTCAGATTCAGAGTGGTTGTTGCCCTGAAGCTGTCCAGACTAGAAGAAGCTTCTTCTTTGTGTCCCCAGGAGCCAGAGTAGATCCAAAAAGTAGGTCCAAGCTTGACATCCTAAAAAGCCTGTAATATTTCAAGTGGCTCTTATTCTAATACAAGGGCATGAGACAAGTCCTTTGAACTTACTTGACCTCTGGGCCAAGAGTGATTTGCTCCCTGGAAACTTAAGTTCAGAGTTTTGTTGTTATTGTTGTTTTTTCCCAATTAGGATATCTTTTGCTCAATTTACTGAACTTGATTTTTTCTTGCAAAGGGGGTTCAGGTGACAAATGGTTACTAGAACCAGATCTTGATTGCCTTTGGATGCATTTTAGTTCAATCCAACCACAATTTATTGAACACCTACTACTTACCAGGCACTGTCATAGAATTGGGGTTATCAGTGGACCACACATTAGCCCAGCCTTCAAGGAGCTTTTATAAATGCAGGAGACTGACATTATTGAAAAGGCAACAGTCACGCTGCTTGATAAGTGTTACCACTTCTAAAGGATCACTGGACAAGTAATTATTGTGCAGGTACCGTATCTAGTGCTCCCACAAGGAAAAGAAATAACCAGGAATCCTTAGTTATCATGAAGCGGAAGGCTTTAGAAAAAGCCCAAAGCTCCTCTGTCTCATTCAGTTGTCTCTACTGTCTTGTTATCAGTTCACTCATTTGCATGCTGTTAATTTGTTTCTTCCTTCCAGCTCTAATATTCTCTGTTTAATTTTAGCATGAGAATGAGGAAAAGGGTCTGTATCCCTGAGTATGTTTAGTATGTGCTAAATACAGAACCCTAGAAGAGTTTTCTAGAAGAGTGTTCGTCAGACTTTCTTGATTCATCTCACCATATGAAATGGTGTATTGTGTCGTCAGCGAACACACACACACACACACACACACACACAGAGTTATACATCAAGCTCAGTGCTTACTCTTGCTGCATGAGCTGCAACCTGGTGTTTTCTATTAGATTCCATTCTCTTTCATTTAAAAGGAAATTGACGTCATGACTCACTGAATTGCTTTCTTAACTGACTCCAAAGCCTGCAGTTTAAAAACACAAACGTAGACAATAGCTCTTGTGGATTGAAAGGCTTGCCGTCCCCTGTGGGCAGAGAATATACTGGATAATGTCTTAGAATCTCCTTTTCCTCTGATGTTCTCTGCCTTACGTTTGAGAGGACACCTTCCCACTCTTCTCTCAGAATTCTCTTGGAAATAATAAATGTGTTCTCAAATTTACTTTCTTCATTCTCTGAAATAAATTCAAGCTTTTCACATGTACATTTTATTCATTATATTTTTAAAGTAATTTTCATCTCATTTTTCATAGATATCAGAATAGAAAGGTATAGGTAACCATTTTGCCCCAGCCCAAGCGGTGGAAATGCCCAAGCACCTGCAGGGAAGTTGTTATCTCGGATCCGTGTTACTTGACCAAAGGAGATGAGTCATAGACTTTCATCAGGGCTCTGCTTGAGTGTGATCCATCTTCCTGTGTTTCCATCTTAAAATGCAGTGTTTAAATGATTTTGTTTCACTGTGATTTAGTGTCCCTACAGTAACTTCTATGGGTTTTGCATTTTAATACTTAATTTGTATTTTAACCATGGATCATCTCGTGTCTCTTCTTTTTGTTTTGGTTTGATGGTTTTTCATTCTCCTGGGCAAGACAGAATCTCTTTGGCCAGACTGCACTGAGTTGGGGAGAGAACCCTGGAACTGGAGATTTAGCTATAGTCCTGGTTCTGCACTAATTCCCTGCAGGAGTTCCACCACTAATTGATAAAGTCTCCAAGGCCTCCTGTGCTTCTCCTATTCCCATCACACTGCATCAATTGCATGTTTACTCATTTGTCCTTCTTGTGAGCTGATATCCTTTGATGTCATATCTGTAGCTTGGCTCAGCATATGGAAGGTACCAAGGGCTGTTTGTGGAATTGAATTGAATTGAGTTGAGTTGAGTTGAATTGAACTGAACTGAAAGGCAGTTAGAGAGTGGGATGTGAAGGGTCCCATGGTCCAGAATAAGGGTCTGGATTTTATCTTGTGGGGTTGAATTGTTCAGAAAGAGTTTCCATAAAGATTTGGGTTCCACAAATACGGAGGCATGGAAGTTAGCTAGGACACTTGGGCTAGAAACGATGAGGGCCTACGTATGGTGGTAGAAGGGAGATGTGGAGAAGAGCCAGAGCCCAGAGATATTAGGGAAGGGATGGCCTCTGGGCTGTGGGAGGTGGTGGGAGGGAATCGGTTCTGGCACTGCATGGACAGGCAGCAGAGCCAGAGGAGGATGAAAGATGAAGGGTTTATTTCACTGAGTTTATAGTAATAG